TTGGTTTTGACCCCTACCGTAATCCTACCGGAACTCCTCTAGATGGTATTACCGTGCGAAATAAATGAGATGGTCGCAATCAGCATGAATGATAACTCCCCAAACGAAATTTCAGCAATTTTTATTTATTGCGTCGACTGTTTTGGAACAGTACCGACTCCATAAACAGAACAGAGATTATACTGTCAGAAAAACGTTAATGGACATTTTTCAGAGTAGTACCTTCTTTCCTCCCTTCCCAAATAATTTGGTTGTACATGGAGACAACTGTGCATCAGATGGCGAGCTCATATGCAGTTCCTGTTGAAAGTGACGACGGGTACGCACAGCGATTGGCGTTTCCTTCTTTGCAGCAGCGACAGCCTGCACAGATAAAGATACAGAAAAAATTTCGGATGAAAAATACCACTTACTTTAGCGTCTGCAGCTTGCTTTTCCAATGATTCATTCGTTTTCGGTGGCGAAGTAGGCCTGGCCACAGGCGAAACAAACTTGTGGTCGTCAGTCGGGTTAGTACTCATTTCTAAATTGTCTACGAATTTTCTCCATTCTCTGAAGCGTCACGCTCTTCCACATGATAATGAGAAGGAGCAGATAGATAGCAATAAAAAAGAAAAATGGAAACAAAAACAAAGGGCATGACTATGACGCGATGATTAGATGTGACCTAAGCGCGGGAGTAAAATAAATCTTAGCAGGTTCCAAATCTCTCCTGATCTGATATCTCTTAGCTAATCGGTCAGTGAGCTACAAATAAATTCGACAATAATATCTCAAACACAATGGAACTGCTCAGATAGGCAACTTGACATTTCCTGACATTGAAATCTGAACTCCCTCAAAGAAACCAAATCTTAATTTTCTTGTTCTATGTGAACTTGCATACTGCAGAAAAACCGATGTGTGAATGATTCGAATTCGAAAATGTCAAACAGGAGAATAAACCGGATGTGTGAATTTGAATTCGAAATTGTCCCGCTCGGCTTGTTTTACGAATGGAGCAACGATTTCGCAGCGGTCCACCGCTATCCGACTACTTCGGCACCAGAATCCCCAATTTGGTTAGATCTGTAATAATTTGAATCTATGTTAAGCTCTTCATTCAAGGGATTTCTACAATCTCA